TAAAGGCAGAGAGTGAAATTCAGTGAATACACGTAGTTTACAGAGATGCTGTATGAGAAACCAAAGTGATTTTGGAAAATTGCACAATATAAATCTATTCTAGTAGACCTCAACAATGGAATTATGATCAGTGGAAATGGCCATGAAATGGGACCTTTAAGTATCTTACGCAGTGTGTGGTTAGATTAAGTTAACTATTGTGCCTTTTTTTTCTCACTTTATGAATCGGGATTTATCATGGTTGATAGTACAAATGGAAAGTTGTGCCACTAAGGAATTGATGCTCCACTGGGCACCTCTAATGGCCCTATATGGTCAACCAAAATAATTCAACAATCAATTTGAGGGTATGCAAAATCAATTATGAATATTGTGTCTTTGCTGGTGAGCATTGAAAATGCAATGTAGAGGTCATGCGGTTTATACAACCGTATGTAAAAGCTTTGTTACTTAGCGCTGTTTAATGAAACATAGCCCTATTCCCTAAAAAATGAACAACACAGAAAGAAGTAATGTGTTTTTATTATAAATGATGAATTATGGCAAACTATGATTAACAAGATGAAATTATAGAGTATGATGAGACTATCCTATCAGAGCTGCCTGAGTCACCAGCTTGTTATTCCAACAGAATGCCACATAGTAGTTCTACAAAAAAAATAACCGGTCTCAATATTTCAAGGCAGCAACAACTCTTACACACTTTATTCAGCTTGAGTTGTACTAGATGTGTGGTTCTAAAGTCGAGTTCAGGAAAATAAAATATGGGGAATAGAGCAAAGCCTTTTCAGTAAGATAGATACTTTAAAATGACCGATCACTATGGCATTAACAATGTCCAAATAATCACATGTCACCTTAAAGGGAACCTATCATGCAAAATGCACTTTTGTACGCCTTTTATACATGAATATGTGTCCCCGGTGTGTCAGGGAACTCACCAAGTGTCAGAAAACACAACCCTCTCTCTTTTCCTCCATACCCAAATCTCTAAAAACGGGGCTGCAACGGATCTGATACAGACTGATACAGATTTTAAATATCTCTGACGTCAGAAACAAGGAGCTCCGCCTATATGGGCTACTCTCCACCTATCAGTGGAATGGGCGGTTGCCGTGGCATGGTAACAGCATGGTAACAGCATGGTAACATGACGCTTGTGCATCGCCCCCCTACTTTGCAGGGGGGCGAGGTCAGCTGCAGCTCATTTGCCACAGAATCAGCCCTTGCAAAAACAGGGCTGGAAAAGAGAAAATAGAGCGAAATGAGGCATGGCTAAAATACATGATCTGTTTGGTATTTTGAAAAAAAAACTTCACAGACATGTTTTATATAGGTATGGCCCTACAATATATTATTCAAATATAGCATGATAGGTCCACTTTAAATTGTAAATCTTTGTTATTTAAGTCTCATGTTTGATTGGTACAGAATATATAGCAAGGTCATCAGGGCTGGTAAGTCCTTGCTGTGTTGAAATCTCTATGTTGAACTTCAACAGTTGAAGTCACCATTTACCGGCAACAATGGCACTTCCTTATTTCTCAGAAATGCCATTGGACCTGACCTCTTGTAAGTTATTTGGAAGATAGTGGAAGATATTTAGTAGGCAGCAGACTGCCATGGCTTTAAGTTCACTTAAGCCCATTGATTGATTGCTCGGTTATCTCCAGGAAGATGTATAGGACCATCTAATTAGATTTGATCACTTACAATTGCTCCTCAGCCACAAGGTAATCAATGCAGTCTAATTATTGTCCAGTTTCTCCACCCATTTTCCTTACTTCCTTTATCATCCTTTCACTTTGCCGTATTACTCACCTTTTTTTTGTTTTCCTCTTTCATTTCCTGCTTTTGCTGCATTCAACAATACCAATCTGTCTTCTTTCTTATAAGGTCAATTCCTCAGTTTTATCCTTTACCTACCCTTCGTTCCTATTTGGCTGTTGCTGTGCTACTGTGACAGTTTTCCATGAGGAATAAACTACAGTTCCCTTGGTGGTAACGGCACACACACACACACACAAAATGCTTAAAAAAGCATTTATATTTCTTGTTGGCTTACTGACAATGTTATGGTGCATTTGGAACCACTCACAAGCATACATACAAAGTGAGTGTAGGTGTTTTTGGGAGACAGTAAAGGACAAATGCATGTAGGTAGGGGGGGGGGATGTGTGATGTATGAAAGAGAAGCTGCAAATTGTCTTTTTTCCCAACCCCTACCCACAATTCAAACACACATGTACACAAGTAGACTAATACACACCAACAAAGCCCCTTAGACACCAGCGGTGCCCCAAAATACACCAAGGCCTGAGAGTAGAATAGCAAACCAATATGCTCGTCCCATTTGTCTCAATCGTCCTGCTGTCTGCTCGGTCAGTCTTAGGGTCTCAATGGGAATACAGAATAGAGTGCAGCTTTTTACACTTACTCAGCTCATCGTACTCAGTATCTCTCTGACCTTTGTGGACTTGCTAGGTGGACTTGATACAATTACCAATCATTCAGTTCAATTCAACAATGAGCTTTTGCAATTCTCATTCACAAGACTACTAATGAAATTAACCTTTGCTGATATTTACGCAGTTCAGTGACCCGAACTGCTTAATGTACCTTTTGTTTAAAAGGTTTGCTACTTTGTCAACCTTTGTATTCCAAATATCATATTTCAGGATATTATTTTGGCTTAAATATAAAGATGATGCATTTGAATTTAGTTTAGTTACGCTCAATTCACTTCAGTTCAATTCAGTTCATTTCAAGATGCCCCACAAGAGGAAATGAGAAGGCAAGAATTGCAAGCATGCAACATTAAAAAACTCAATGAAACTTGCACTGCTAAATGAATGTATGAACTGTATAATTCAGTGTCTAATAATGATAATGAAACGACTGGACATCTAGATTGTATGCATCATTCCCCCTCAAATGATCCTGTATCCATTGTGGGCTCTGACTGGCTGAGTACAAAGCAGCTCATACTGGCCATTATCGATCCATTAATTGGAAAGTGGCCCATTGTAGTGAAAGGGCTGGGCAGTTATAGACAGACAGGAAGAGATGGAAGCTTAAGATCAGCCTGGACTCTAATTGGCAGGAAAGAGGTTTCTATGAAGTGGTGTAATGTGCTTTTTATTGGCATGTAGGGGTGGGGGCAGTAGATTGTTGTAGAACTGAGCGACATGCATGTTAATTCTTTATGGTAAGACAAAACTCATGAATACCAAGCTACGGGATTCATTGCTGTATTTCTATTTTACACACTATCAAAGAACAGCCTACCTTTTACCATTTCAAGTTTATTTCCTTAATGGTAAACCATAAAAAGATACCTTCAGTCTATTGTTATATAACCCAAATTCCGTGCACATTCTCTCATTTTGTTATTTGCTCTATGTGCACAGGTGCATAAAGTAAATTGAATCCTATAAGAATCAAGCAAAACCTTTTTCTGTTAATGCACTTTCATTCTGATCAAATTCAGTTCCAACAGCTGAGTTCAAGCATGTCCAAGGACATTAATATAAAGACTTCCATCCCTTCTTTTTGAGAAACTCAGGCTGTTATCATTTCAATGCCAAACGATTTCTAACATCTATTCTTTTACCCCATGGTCAAGTTTCAGCCTTTGATACATTCTGTGCGTGTTTTCTTTTAATCTTGGCGAAGGCTAAAGTGGAAAAGAGTGTTTAGGTAGAGATAAAGGTGTTGGCAAAAACATGGAAGGTCAAAAGACTGGGGTGGCCTGTCTGACCTTCACACCCTTTTTTCATACTGTGCCACTGCAGAGCACGGATGACATTGAAATACTCTATCGACTGTGAGTCAAGCTGTGTGTGTGAAAAAGCCTGGCAGAAGGACACATTACTCACTAAACATGACATTTTACTGCTATCAATTCAGAACAGAGAGTGTTGCACTACATAGGGAAATTATTTATGTTACTGTGATGAAAACCACAACAACAGAATGAAAGCTATATTTCTAGAAGCCAATAGTTACCACAATTCCTGACTTTACCCAAAACATACTTTATTATTCCTAGTTATTTGAATAAAAATGTAAGCACATTAGTTTCATACTACCTGTATGTTCTCTGTGTCTTTACACGTTTGCATTCCAATTATTAGTAATGTTGACAGCCACTTTTGTAAATGCCAGAAAGAAACGGGGACCTTTGTGACCTTTTAGATCAAATGACAAGACTACAAACCCCTCATATATCTTATTGAAATAATTAAGAAGAGAGAGACAATACTTCCAGCGCCCATGTAATTGATCCATTCTGTAATGCACTACTGCGTACAGTGCTGAGGAGTGTTTGTGCCGTTTATGTATTTTACGTTTTGTACCAGTGTTCCATTAAACTGATGCATTTTGTCATACACAGCATACTGTTTATTTGTGAGGCTGTCTAAGTAAGACTTCAGTATTAGGGTATTAGCGTGTCTTTGTGTGCACAAGCATGCACAGTATTCACATAGCATGAAGATCCCTGTGTGTGATAAGGTAGCCCACCATATGGAATAAACGCCACATGGTTCATATAAAAGCCCCAGTTCCTACCAACAATATCTTAGTTTATAGAGAAAAACAAGAATGTCGAGGCTGACAGTCAACAGATTCTCACAGAAATGTTGTGAAAGGAACTAGCAAATTGCATTTACATTTCTGGTCTGGAGATGGTTGGCTGACAAGTTTTCTATAGTCATCAAGACTACTGTCAGTTATTGATCATTTCTGCCAGATTTGGTGGTCAGCTCTGCGGTTTACTCTGGAAAGCCTAATTGGATTTCTTTATGTGGTTAATGAAATGCTCAAACTTAAACGGTATAGAGCTCACATCCCCAGTATTGTATTTACCCTTACTCTGTCTCTACCACATTTCTTTCTGCATAATTAATCATGTGTCACTGGGAGATCTTGTTTCACAGCAGGAATAATTCCTGTAGAGCCTGTTACATACTTTTTTTTTCTCTCTTTCTTCTCCACAGACGGACAATTTCCCCACTGAGCCTAATTATATGGGTAGCAGACAACAGTTTGTTCAAAGGTAAGGGTTGAGATCTATACCAGTCACTACATCTCAGACCTTTGTTTTATTTTCTTCAATACTCCAAACAGAGTACTATAGCATCAGCAAGTAAATTAGATTATTAATAAGATGTTTTCATAGCATGGAGACAAAGAGCATGTACATTTATTTAGGTATTCTCTGTAATACATAAAATATAATCACATAGAAGATGTGTTGCTTTTTATTTCATCTTCATCTGGCTGGTACAATGTTTTTATTACCTCCAAATCCCATCAATATCATTTTTTCTTGTTTTACCTAAGCCTTCAGGGATGTTCATCAATGTTTCATACTGTCTCTACATTTTCTCTGAGTTGTAAAAAAGGAAAGAGCAAATTCACAAATCTCCTTTTTTGTTCTCCCTTTTTTCGTAATGTGTTTAGCAGTTCAACCTTCAAAGACCCAGAGCGAGCAAGCCTCAGAGACAGTGGTCATGGTGACAGTGACCAGGCTGACAGTGACCAGGACACCAACAAAGGCTCCTGCTGTGACATGTCTGCAAAAGAAGCCCTCAAGTTGAAGGCTACAGGAGTGAAACCACCGCCTTTGGAGCAAGGTGAGCTCTCATCCTTATATATGACTACATGACAAATGAAAGATGATGCGCCAGCCAGACAAACTTTAACCAAATGATTATCAATCCTTTTTTTGAGATTATTTGTTTGAACGATTGAGCTCCAGACTTGCCTGAACGCATCGCAGCGCTCACAATCTCAATTTATACTGGGCTACTTCTTGTCCTCTACTTTGTTCTCTACTTTGTTCACTTTTCTCATTTAGTGTGTGTGTGTGCGTGTACTTGAGGGTGTGTGCATTCTATACACGTCCTCAGTTTATCAAAGCAGACAAGCCCATTATGTTTTTATAAGCCCAACTTCTTCAGCCTCTCCATTTAGTCCCCCTTCCCTGAGCACCCATCTCTGAAACTTTGATAATGGAACATGGAAAATGACTTAGTGAGCGGCAGGAGATGTAGCTTCGTAGTGTGGTGATTAAATATGAATAATTATTCTAAGCACTATGGGTCGGGCAGATTACACATGACATGTGTAGAACAATAACTCCCCAGATATGGGTTGTTACAGTCCTACTCACCCCAGCTGCCTCACATGATTAGTGCAGGTTGACAGGAGCAAGAAAGCCAAGATTATACATAGGTACAGAAAGAATTAACAGAACAGGAGGAGGTATGGTACATTTCTCACTGCAGCTTCATCCACTCATGTTCCTCGGTGTGGGCCATTACCTGCTGGGCAAAACAGATATTCCCACAGAAATAAAGATTTAAAGTCTCAGGAGGAAGTATGTATCTCACTGACTGGATCGAGAAGTATAGTGTGCTATACTGAACATGGATTCTGTGTAATGGTGCTATTCATCTAGGGAACAGAAGGGCTGTTTAAGTCTTTGCGGAGGGACAATGACAATTTATACTGCACACTCTGTGCTGCGATATGCATGTCTGACTAGATAACATTTTCTAGCATAAAAAAAGCCACACACGTTGGCAAGAGCAATTGGCCAATTAAAAGCTCCATATGTTTCTCATTTTGAAGATGTTACTATTTAATTGTCCGTGAGGGACTGAAATAATCACATTTACACAAACGAAACACATGACAAACTGAGCTAGGAGTGTTTTGGTCAGTAGTCTGTAAAACCTGTCCAATACTACATTGTTGGTTGGTGTTTACTAAAACTACCTGAAAGTGCCAACTCCAACCTGTCCATCTACCTTTCTGTTTCCTGTGTGTTATCTTCGGTCAGCTTTCTTTTGATGGTCTCTCACAAACCAAAGTTTGTTGCACCAGTACAAAAAAAGACAAACACACACACACTTATGCTGCAACCTGCCTTAAGCCTGTTTTTCACTCACTACTGCGCTCTCATTTATTCTCAAACAACTTTCGTTCTACTTCTCCACCTCTCCCTGTTTGGGGAAATCAATTGATGTGAGATTATACAGTTAACTGGCTGCAGCTGGCTGTGTTTAGCCAATAACATGTGGGCTTAGCTAAAATGTGGGGGAGGGCAGGGGCAGAAGGCCAAGGCATGGTGCAAGAGCAGTGATAAGGAGTTAGAGGTGTTGAACATCGCTTTGGCAGTGTTCCAGTTCATCTTTATTAAGTTGCAAAGATACCAGTTGAATGCTCCAAAGCAACAGATATGCCTCACTATGAGTCCATATTTACATGAGAAAACATTATTAGGATTAGATTTTCTGCTCTCAGATTACAATTTCATCTGCTCGGAAAGGCCTGTTTCTATGTTGTAAGATCTCCTGCAGTTGAAGATGAATAAAAAGATGGTCACCTTGTGCGTGGTAAGCTCCAGAGTAGTCCCATCTGCTACTTGCTAAGATCATGTACAGCCAGGTAATTTATCATAGTCATTTTAAAGCTAATTAATTAGGCTTTTTAAAAAGAAAAATAGATGAAAACTGAAACACAAAATATGCAGTAATGTGCTGCTCTACTTTCAGGTATTGATATCTCTGATTTAATGTAGCTCCCTGTTTGAACACACATTTACTATACACCAGTAGCACAAAAGTATGTCCATTATCAGTTGACAAAGAAAAGGAAAAGTGAGCTTGTCATTTGTCACTGTTCCTGGGGTAGTTTTCCTGCAGGGTTTATTTTCTACACATCTCAGCACTTAACATCTACTTTATATGTCTCTTTCTATCACCCCACCCTTCCCTCCTTCATCCCATCTTAAGTCTTCTGTTCCTCTCCAAGCATCACACTCCCAATTACTCTATGTAGCTCTCTGTGCTTGCCTGCCAGTACTCTGCAGCCTCATTCTCTGGCTCAGTATAAACAGAACTACAAGTGCACAAAGCATGTCATTCAAGTCTCAAAGATTCCCCGAACCTTTCTCGGTCCTACGTTTTTAAAGTCAATGGGTTATTATCCTACAGTCAGTGTACACTTCTTTCACCTTGTATGTATTTAATTTTCCCATCGTTTTTTCTTACTTCTACGTATTTCCCATCAATTTCTCTATTTATGCTCTCCTGTGTTAATGGGCATTGGTAGAACAACCATTAAACTCCCCATGTCCGTGCTTGTAATTGATGTTCTTCCATTATTTGCAGTACGTTTTCTTCTACACAACCTAATCTGGACATCTTTGCATGAGGGACCAGTCTTAAATTGATTAATTAGCCCTGCAAAATCGGTAGCAACGTATTAATTAAGCTTAAGTATATCAAATGCATTTTTTCACCACTTCTAAATGGCGATTAATTGATGCTCTAACGCGTCTGTAGCAGACGTTGGTACTGGCTTGTCTGGCTCCAGCGGAGAGGCTGGCAGCACATCGCTCGCCTCTGTGGAGAAGACTGCCACGGTCGCTATCACAAACAGACAGGCAGCAGTGGTGTGGGGAGATGTGACCCACTGATAGGGCTGTCCGAGGGAATGGAGAGAGAGAGAGGGTTGATGGGAGAGGAGGAGGAAGAGCATGGAGGGACGCTGTTCGGGGATACTGTTCAAATGTACCAGGCAGCCGACCTGTCCTAATTAGTTGCGATTAGAGTGTGAAACCGCCTGCCTTGTTTTAAAAGAGAGGCATATGTGGGAAAGAATAGGGGGGAGGTTCGAGGAGGACATGATACTTTGAAGATAGGTTGGATACAGTGAGGAAAGGCAGCATGAAATGTGTTTCTATCAAAATGGCAATGATATTGACTTTTTACCATTGTTTGTTGCAATGTGAAATAAATCCCCACACCCACATCATCCCTGTAATAAGCTTAAATAAGGGAAGTGTCCTGCTTTGTCAGTTACTCTCAAACACGCAAGCTATGGAACATAAACACCCCCAAAAATATGTAAATGCAGACGCAGATACTGTACACAAATAAAGGATGATGTTGTGTTTTTAATTGTTATCCTATAACAATTGAATGTCTTTTATTTTGTCGATTAGTATCACCAGATTACACATGTTTCAAAATACAAAATCAAGCTTATGTATTGCAGTTGATAACTGAGCAATTAAGTATTGTATAATATTGCCATCGTTCATCCTACCGAATTTCAACAACATACCAGCTATCTCAGTGTAAGTATTTCATAGTATGCCGCTGGGTAAAAAAAGGGTCCACAAGATTTATTATTTTGTTCTAGGGCTGATGAATTTCCCCACTATTAATTTTTTTTTATCTTATCATTTGGATGTTCTATTAAATATAGTTCCCAAAACAATAAGTAAAATGTAATTGTTATCATTTAATAGGTTTTTGAATCCTCATTGTTGAAGTGTGCATTCCAAGTAAGAAGAGGGCGTGACCTTACATTTAATCATCTGTGAAATCATGAGAAAATTAAGTCTTTATATGTTGTTTTGTTTAATAATAGTTGTTCTCTCCAACCAAGCAAACTTAATATTCAGACTTTAATCCATCTTTAATATGCACCCATCATCCACTGTGGCAGTCTTAAGCTTAAGACTCTAGCATTACTGTACTTTCCCAAATCGTTTCAACTCCCCACAATATTAGTCTTTCCTTTCTTCTTTTTATATGCAGCAATTAATTTTGAATCAGTACTGAACCTTTGATAAAAGAAAATTGCAATTCCAAGATGAATTGACTGGTCAGAAGTCAGATCAGATGCCCTTTTCACACTTGCAGCCATGGCAACCTCTATCCTGCTCAGTTTGGCCTTCAATAAACCTTTATCTGACTGTTGGAAAAGGGCATACCATTCAACATCATTCATATTTCATGGACAGATTAATGCAGACAACGTTTTCAGAGCGCGGGTCTTTGTATATTTCACCTATGATTTAAATTATTCTGAATTTGTATTCAAAAGGCAGCACGATCACTCAAGTTCACTGTTTACATGTATGTCATTATTTTTACAAATAGTTCACATAGGCCAGTCTAGTTGATACATATTACAATTCTAGTTACATCTGTATGCCTTTTGTTGATAAGCTTATGCTTTTTTTTTTATTATTATGTCTGACTATTTGCACCTATCTTTGTTTTAGACTTTATATTGCTTTTAATGTGAAATTATTTTGTGTTTATGCAAATGTAAGCAAAGAAAGGACAATAAACCGATAGAGAAAGAGAGAAACACTGAGTTCAGACACAATTGAATCTCAAAAAACAATTGAACAAAGAAACACACAATCTGGCTGCTGACAGACTAGCTGCTTGAAGACACACATCTTCTGAACAATGTCCAGTGAGCATTGATAGATACACAGCCAGAAAGTGACTCACTCATCAAACTGACTTTTAAACAATAATTCATGAAATGAAAACTTTTAAAAAAAGAATTATGGCTAAAAAAAGTTGGTTCCCATTTGTCTTAGGTTTGATGTGTACAGTTTTTCTGGTATTACGATGAATGATATGCATACCTTTCATACACTTTGTTCATATGATCAAGAGGCTTTTAAGCAATATTGCATACAAAAATCCCAGTCCTTAGTGAATTTACATATTATTTATAACAACAAACATCATATTTCATTGTTTTATTCTTACATAAAACCCGGTTGACAAATGTACATTTACTTCCCCATTAATCA